CAGGGGCTTAAGTGGAGAGCAAATATTTTGAGAATGATGAGGGCAATGAATGTACAAATGTGCTTTACACAATTGATGTATGTATGGATTGTGATAAGAGTTGTATGAGCCCCTAATAAAACGATTTAAAAAAAATCTTTATGGGAGTAGACAGCCTTATCTTCAAATGAAGGCATCTAGTAAAAGCTAAAAATAAATATAACAAAAGTGGTGAAATATTTTTAATAATAATCACAGCTAAGTTCATTGAACATTTATGATTGCTATGTGCTTGACCAAAATTAACTCTAATCTTTATAATCCTATGAGACAGTACTATTATTATTTGTTCCAGGGGAGGAAAAGAATGCACAGTCTATAGAGACTTCTTTATTAATTCCTAACCAGGACAAAGACAAGACAAAGACAATCATCCAGAGGAGGAAAACCATTGACATGAGGTCAAGATATAGTATGATGAATTCAGGGCCAGAGAGCTAATTATAGATGGCAGAAAACAAAATAAACTATCATAAAATCACAATTTGTGGCAGATCAATTCATCACTGTCATAGGAAGGACTGCAGAAGTAGAAAAAGAATCGTGACTGGAATGCATACACAATTTCAGACTAAAATAGTTTAAAGGTTGCTTCTGAAGCTTTGGCCATCTGGCTGCATAGTAACTGATATATGACTCATGGCCATGCAGCCCTTAATTGTAGTCACTAGGATTCCAACTTTTAGCTTTAACTAGGTAGTATGTGGCTATTTTTGGTAAATTATTAGGGACAAGCAAGTTCCCTGATTCTGTATGGAAACTTGAAGGCAAGATTTCCCCTTCATGGGCTGGCCCAGGAGGTATCATTTTAAACATACACTTTCTGAGGGCTAAATTGGTACATAGCTGGTTAAAGATCAGATAGTACTCATAGGAGTCTGAACTTATGTCAAAACCCAAAATGGAGTAAGAGCCCCCATCATAAACCCTAGACTTCCAACAACCAAGTGCTTTAGAATTTAAGAGCCCTGATGGTGTAGTTACTATCTGGAAGGTCAGCAGTTCAAAGCCACCAGCTGATCCATGGGAGAAAGATAGGGCTTTATACCCCTTAAAAGAGTTATAGTCTTGAAAACTCACAAGGGCAGTTCTGCTGTGTCCTACAGGTTCACCATGAGTTGGCATCAACTCAATGGCAGTGAGTTTGAATACAATTACTACTATTTTTAAGAATAGGGAAAATGAAGCACAGCAAGGATTTGATATTTTGTTCAAGGTCATACAGACAGTGCTATGTATTTGTTAGATGTCATTGAGTCAGTTCCGACACATAGCGACCCCATGCACAGCAGAACAAAACACTGCACCATCCTCACAGCTACTCCTACGCTCGAGTCATTGATGCAACCACTGTGTCAGTCCATCTCATTAGGGCCTTCCTCTTTTTAGATGCCCCTATCCTTTGCCATCATGATGTCCTTCTCTAGGGACTGGTCCCTCCTGACATGTCCAAAGTATGTAAGATGAAAACTCACCTACAGTACAATGGAGGACCAAAATTCAGACCCAGGTAATAAGCATCCAGAGCCACACACGTAAGCACACATTTATAAAAATAAGAACATGCATATATACAATGTTCAGGATAAGAAGAATGAATATTGTAAAGATGAACACTTGCCCAAATTAACCTGTATGCTTCATGCAATCAAAATCAAAACTCCAAAAGTATTTCTCATGGCATTTAATAAGCTGATCCTAGAAATCATATAGAAGATGTACTGGTCAAGAATAACTGAGGCAAAGAAGGGGGGTGGGTAGTTCATCCTACTGGATATCAAATCTTATTTCAGAGGCATATTAAGACCAGAGAAGAATTGATAAATTTGAATTAGGATGTTTGTGAAGAACACCAAAAAATACCTTGGACTGCCAGAAAAACAAACATCTGTCTTGGAAGGAGTAGAGCCAGAATGGTCCCTAAAGGTGAGGATGGTGAGATTTTGTCTGATATATTTGGAACATGCTATCAGGAGAGACCACTTTCTATTCTAACAGAACTTTATTTACAAAACAAGGTAGTCGGTTAGACAGAGTTCTTAAGCCATGGTTTGGCAAATGGCACAGGAATGATAAAACAAATTAGTTAGAGTCATTCCTCACATCACACATAAGAATATATTCCCAGTGAATTAAAGTTCTAAAGTAAAAACTAATTCTTACAATGATTCAGAAGTTTGTACGAAATTATCTTCAGTATTCCACAATGAAAATTATTTTTTAATATAAAGCATCAAAAATGTAAGTATACAAATTATTCTCACTTTTCGTTTTGAGCAAGATGTTCCCTATTTTTTGATGTTAGCTCATAAAGATCCTAGATACAAACTCTTATATGACCCTGTGCTTACATACTACCCTTTCCTCTTGGTGAGATTTACTCCATACAGCTGTTAACTACCGCCAGTGGTTCCCATCTGTCTCCTGATGGTTCTGGGTAAGAAAACTGGTGGGAAATGCTGATGGGATTATATGATTCACTTGAGTGGTTGTTAACAAGACCAATTGTGGTCATAAAAACTTGTAATCTTAAAGTGGGGTTTGTCAAGTATAATATGAGCCATCTCAGAAGCTAAAAGGGGTTCATTCTCATTCCCATGAAAGGAACAAGAGACAGGGGTGTGTGGCCTTGGGCCATGAGATCCCTGTCCACTGAACCTCTTTGTTCCAAGAGACAGAGTTGTGACCATACTGAAATGGTGGTAGCTGAACCAAGGGCATGAGACAGGTAGTAGGCTTGCCAGGCCCACGGAATGAGTAAGGCTGAGGGCTTTGGTGTAAGAGGTGCACTTACAGTGGGGTGCCTCCAGGCAGTTAATGGAATTAACTCATTAGAGTCAAGCTTTTTAGGGCTAAGGCTTTTGGTGCAGTGGCGAGCCCTTTGGGCATTTATTGACAGATGAGCTTTGTAACATTGCCAGGGCAGGGCAGAAATTAGAGGGAGGGCCAGAGGCCTGCCGGTTGGCATGGCTGCAAAGAGGCTGTCCAGACCAAAGAACTGCATTCTGGACATTTTGAATTCTAAGCCGGTAACTTCCTTAATCCTGAGTATTGTCTGTGAGTTTGAAGTGACCATTGTAATGAATTTTCAAACTCAGCAGAGAATCCCTTGGGAGGCATGATTGGTACCTGAAATGGAGAGCAGAGGAATGCCTGACCTTTGCATCACAGGAAGCAGCCTTGGGCTGAGGTGAAGTTTGGGTCTCCCTCCTCCTTACAAAGTCAGAATCGCCCCTATGTCTGTCTCATACCACCCTCTAACTTGAGGAAGCACTTAATGAATTCTCTAAGATTCTTAAAGCAAGTGCTCCCTGGAGGGTTTGCTATTGTTTCAGCTTTCTCAACACCACCTTTCTTTGAACTACAAGCCTTTGAAAAAGGTAATACAGAAGTTAAAATAAAATTTAAAAAGACACTATTGCCTTTGCTGCTCAATTATTTTTACTTTGAAATAACCTTCAAGAACTAAGTGGGGCTGGGGAGTACCCAGACTTCAGGGTGAGGTCTAAAGATTCCGAAAACTGAATATGAAGTTTTGTGTGTGTCACATCTGGAGAAATATCTAATACAGTGTGTCAGTGTGACACAAAGATATGCCTAATTGATTCTTAATTACCAAATCATTCACTGATTTTTAATTACCAAAAAGGAAATGAAACAGGAATTCCATAACCACAGGTAGGGGATATAGGGTAGCTGGCTATTTATATTGTAAAACACCTTTTACAAAAACCTACTGCCATCCAATCTAGTCAACTCATAACGACTCATGTAAAATTTCTCAGACTGAAAAGCTACAGGAGCAGAGTCTTTCACCTACTGAGCAACTGATGGGTTTGAATCACTGACATTGCAGTAGACAGCCTAATGCCTTGGCCACAGTGCCACCCTGGCACCTTTAATGGTCCTAAATATCTTCACTTTCATTTTGTTTGGTCCTAATTTTCAATGGAAATTAAATACACTCCGGGAGACAAACTCAGGACAAAGGCTAGGCTGTCTTCACCTGTAAAGATTTCCCGTTTTGACATTTAATTGGGCAGTTTTAACCTTGTCCGATTGGAATCACTGAGGCAAAATACACTTCATGGAAGTGGATTTAGGGTTAAAAAAAAAATCAGAGAGGCTAAAAGTAACGAAAAGGCTTAGACCAGTGGTGAATTTGTACTTTATCTCACGGGGTTTGATGGAGTAACTGGGTAAGATGGATTGTTTTCTAAGGGACCTATTTAATTGCTTTTAAGTATGGGTAGTATTCATAACCCCAATATGAAACATATGTATCGCAAGCACTTAGCAGCGTTCCACAGGCTCTTCAATGCAATGCGTCCCACTTGGGAAGAGTAAGGTCGCAGCAACTAACTTGTGAAGGGTGGGTCTTTCTGCAGGATGCCTGGGAGTCGCTTTTCCACGGTCAGAACGCCAATAGAAAGTTTGTGATGGCGTTGGTAATGGACGCCAGGCTACTAATACGAAACCTATGAAAACATTCAGCGCGGCGTAAAATACCCCGGAGGAAGGTATAATCACGTCGGAGCAGGAATTGGGTCTTCTGGGAAGGGGCGGCGAAATTAAGGTTATGAGAAGACTTCTTTCAGGGACCAACAAAAAACGGGAGCGTCTCTGAGAGCGACACACCCTGACTGAGGAAGTTGTTCACCCTAGCCGCGCGCTCAGCCTGGGAATCACTACGCGGCACCTTCCAGAACGCTCGAAATTCCAGGAATTCAAACGCGCGCGCCAGAGCCGCACGCCCTCCGGGTCGCCTAGAGTGACGGCCGTGCGACCAATCGGAACGCAGCCTGCGCTGCACGTGTGCTGCGGGGGGCGTGTCGGAGCGTTGGGGGCGGGACAAGACGGAGTTGCCTAGACAACGGCTCCCGAGCCGGCTTGTTGAAGAGACTTCCGGCCGGAAAGGGAGACTCCACGGGAACGGCCACCTGGTGAGGTGCGCGAGTGGTGTTCGGGCGAAGGCTGTGTCCTGTGAGGAGCGGCGGGACTGTGGCAGCGCCACGCCGCCCGCTTGCGTTACCGTTTCGCTTCAGTCACACCAAACAGTATTCCCGTCCAGTAATTAAGTGCCAGTTATTTCTCCAAGGTAAGCCTGTGCTGACGCCGCCTCCCGTCCCCTCTGCCCCTAGTTGAGTGGAAACGGAGGCGTTCCGAGCCTACGTTGGCCCGCAGCCAACTGGTCCTGTGGTCAAAACAAAACAAGACGAAGCTGAAGTTTGAGTCTAAGGATTTCAACTTCGCACGGTGTGTTTTTGGTTCTGACTGCACTGCACATGTTTGTAGGCCCAAGTTGCGTGTCCTTCTCGTTAAAGTTCTGGTTCTCGGTGGCCCAGAAGCTACTTTTGAACCCGGGTCATGGGACCAAGCCTTGACATTTGTCCAGTCTGTGGAACGGACTGCGAGTTTCGCTGTCTCAAGTTGTTCATTCCTTGTCAATCTGGAAGGCAGGGTAAGAGGCGCAAGTCATTGTGAGCCCGAACCGCCGCTAGACCCAAACCAATTTAGCAAAGCCCACTCCATTTTTGAGGCGAATCATTTTCATGGAAAAGAATTCAGAACCCAGTGTTACGTTACGCAGGGCTCCTTTGGTGTCACGTGTATTTCATTTGAAGTTGGGCTGTTACTCATCGATGCGAGAAAGTATTGAAATTATCGATAGAGAAGTAAAGCTTTAACCGCACAGACGAGTCTGAAGGGAAAAAAAATTCTTAATGTTTTAAAACATTTTAACAAAAGGGCAATCACTTAAAAATTCTTGTCACCAACATCTAAAAGCAAACTCAGCGAAAGTTATCTGCTTATCAAGAATAATTTCTTCCTCTGGTGTCTAGGCAGGGAAGGATTTATGAAAGCTTAGATCTATATGTGTTTAGGTTCTTGCCAACCCCTTTCTTAAAATTCCATCTTCAAAACTCCCTGCTAATGAGCACTCTTCCCGCGGCTTGGATGAAACATTCTGAATAACTTCCTCAGCCTGAAGGTTAGAAATTTCATTAAATAAAAAATTAACTACATTAGAATACTTAGGTATGAAACATTAATGAACTGAGTAATACATTCTTTAGAAGAGGGGGCACTTAAGCAAATACAGGACACCTGCATTGTGGAGCCAGCTAACGTGATAAGATTTAATAGCTAGGCAAGAGATAAAAAAAATACCCAACGTTTCAAAAGAGAATGTTCCATGAGCTATTTCCTACTTGCATAGACCACTTTAAAAATGAAATGAACTGAGAAGTACCCCAAGAGGCTCTAAAGATGAAACAGTGTCCTTTGGATGTCAGTGTTGCACTGAGCAAAGTCAGTAGCATTGTCATTTATTTGGCAAGGGAAAAAAACAAAACAGAAAAATCCCTAGATTTATAAGAACTCAGGCTGTAAATTTAAAAAATATAGTGTATTTTTAGTTTAGGAAGCACAGAAAGGAGACTTGAACCTAGGTTAGCTAGTCTTAGAAAAGAGAAAGATTACAGTCTAGAAGCAAATGCAATTTACCCTTTCCCGTCACCTGGGTGTCCTTTCCCTTCTTGCTTGAATCCCACCGATGCTTGGAGACCTAGCCCAGATTTTAAATCTTTTATAACAGCCCTCTATGCCGCCTATAGTTATCCATATACTATTGCTTTGGTATTTTTGCTTTATGCTTTCTTACTGGAACCCAAACTATGTAGAATTGTGACTTGAAACAAATGAGTTTTAATGTAAAATTGTTTAAAATGTATGTTAAAGTTAAAAGCAAACAATCAAAAAGCAGATATGATTGGGAATAATTGACCTTTAGATCCATGCAAGAAAATCAAACTTCCCGCCATCAAGTCAATTCCAACTCATAGCAACCCTGTTAGACCTGGGTAGACCTGCCTTTGTACTTTTCTGAGACAGTAACTCTTTACAGGAATAAAAAGCTTATCTTTCTCCTCTGGAGTCCCTAGTAGTTTTGAATTGCTGACCTTGGGACTTGAAGCCCTGCACGTAACCACTGTACCACCAAGGCTATTTTACAAGATAGTAGGAGTGGTAAAGTAGAGACTAGTTGCCTCGCCAAAAGATTCTAATGAAATTTTGAAAAAGACAAAACAGCTTCCCCCTTGCCCCTGATATTAGCCTGCCTTCCCCAGAGTCCACCTGATTTAGGTTCACAGGGCAGCGGTTAGCAGAAGTAGCCAACATGTTATTCCATTTGGAATTCATAACGTTTTGTGGCTATTTAGAGAGTGGACATATTATATATCCCAGATAAGTACATTTTGCCCATACTTCACTGATTTATAGTATTACTGGGTGCCTGTATTGAAGGAGCTGTACTAAATCCTTTTTAAAAATCTGCCTTAGAGTCAATTTTATCTCATAGCGGCCCTCTTAAGAGTAGAACTGCCCTAGAGGGTTGTCAAGGCTGCCACATTTTCTCCTACGGAGCACCTGGTGGATTCAGGCTTGCCTTTTCAGTTAGCAGCTCTAGTGTTTTAACCACTGTCACTAGCTCCTCGCATTGCTATATTGAGATAAATATTTATAGATTTTGGGGCCAGTGTATTCAATGCTGATATGCACAACATACTTTTTACAACTTTATCCTGTAAATAAATGAGAACACACAAAAAAATTCCTTTTTAAATTATGTGCCCTGATAAGGCCAGGGCTCTCAAGTACAAGTGCAGAGGACATGAGACATACAAGTAGTAATTGTATTGCAAGGTAAAAGTGAGAGAATCATAAGAGAATTAGGAAGTACTGTGGGTGATTAGATGGAGCTCTGGAGGCCTTGCTGGGTAAGTGTTGAACTGCAAATCTCCAGGCTGGTGGTTAAAACGCACCATCCCTCTGAGGGAGAAAGATGATGCTTTCTGCTTCTGTAAAGATTTGGGGCCTCGGAAACCAAAAGGGACAGTTTGCTCGGTCCTGTAGAGGGTCACTATGGGTCAAAATTGACTAATGGCAGAGTTTTTAAGAAGAAAGGAACAGGGAAAGGTTCCTTCCTGCTGGGTATATCATTGAAGGTATTTAAAGTTAGGATTAATCATTCCCATGGCACCTGGTACCTCTAACATAGCATTCGTCATTGTGTTGTAGGTAGTTGTTTGCATTGTTCATATCTCCCCCATGCATTCTGAAATACATAGAAATGTCTTAGGCTTTAAGTGCTCCAGTATATGGAATTCAGAGGTATCAAGAGTTAGCTGGGCGATTATTTTTTAAGATAAACTTTTCTCAACTCTAGCTCTAGAAGTGCTTACTGAGCAGTCTTCCTCCCCAGGAGTGGGCAGCGAATCTCTATTCTGAAAGGTTTCCACGGCACATCCAGCTTGTGATTCTGATAATCAAACCCATTTGGAAACTGTTGCCCTAGAGCACCTGGTATATAGTATGCTCTCAATAAATGCCTGTCAAATTAAATGAGCAGAGCTGTGATTTAGTCAGATTAATAAGAACCCCGTGTGTGCATGAATTAGAGAAATGTCCTAGAGGTAGGAAAATCCTATTACAGATGTCCAGTTAAGAGACGAAGCAGTTCTAAAGTCGAGACAGGAGAGGAGAGAAGTGGATAAGATATATTGAAAAGGTAGAATCAGCAGAGTTAGATGACGCTTGATAAAATGCAGTAACTTCCAAACCTCTGTGTGCCTGAAATTTACATGGAGGTATTATTTACAAAGCTGTTTGCTGGATACTGCCCTTGAAATCCTGTTTAATTAGTCCAGGGTGACTCACATAAATATGCGTTTTTAACAGCTGTCCCCATGATTTTGATATAGGTTGTTTAATCTTTTTCAATATACAACCTCAATTTCACAACATACTAATCTGTTGACCATGATGAGTGGGGCTGACAGAAGACTGAAAAACAATTCTAAAGATTAAATCTTGAGTGACAGGAAAGATGATAAGCCATAAATAGACACTGAGAATTTGGTTTAGAGCAAAATGAAGTTTCTATACAAAGTTATTCAGCGAGTAAGAAGAAATGTAGTTTAAAAGTCTGGGGGAAAAGAATGAAGAAACAATTGGAAGCCTTGTATAATAAACAGACACTTGTTGGGAGAAAGATGTGGCAGTCAACTTCCATAAAGATCTATAATCTTGGAAATGACTTGATGGCACCTGGTCTGGTTTGGGGTGGGTGGAGTTGCTGTGAAGTGAAAAATAAATTGATGGCAGGAAAGTCAAAACTAGGAAGTAAATTTTCAGGCCTTTCTTCCAAGTACAATGAGGCGGACTCAAATTTTTAACCTTCTAACTTAGGTAGTGTGTTTGCACTACCCAGGAACGCTAAGATATTTCATAATGTGCAAAAAAAACACATGATATATTGTCATTAGTGTAAAAGGTAGTGTTAAATTACTTAATATTCTATATAGGATTACTTTAAAAATGTTTATTACGGTGAAATAAATATAATGAAAGTCATTTTACTAATTTTTAATGTGTACAATTTAATCACATTAATTATATTCACAATGTTGTGCAACTATCACCACTATTTTCAATTTTTTCATCACTTTTGACCAGTGTTTCCCCGAGTGTGAAATACCGCCCCTGGAGGGACACTGGAATGATCCAGGCAGCTGCAAAAGCATATACCTATACTTTATTCCTGTTTATAGGGAGGGCCCTGAGTAATTTCTTTCCTGAAGAGGAGGAGGTGATAGGCCAAATGAGTTCAGAACCTATGTCCTTGCCAGAAATTCAGTAACTCTTAGGCAGTACCTCCTTGGTTCTCCCACCTATCCGTTTCTGATAATCAGTAAACTCTGATCTCATTTGCCTGGTCTAGATATTTAAGTGGGATCATGTGATATTTGTGTATCATGTTTCTGTGTCTTACATTATTGACTCAGCATAATGTTTTCAAGATTTCACCATGTTGTAGCATATATCAGAACTTCATTTCTCCTTGTGGTTCAATAATGTTTTGTTACATGTATATAGCAGATTATATTAATTCATCTATTGATGAAGAAAAGTTTAGCATTGTACTTCTGAAAAAATGAGCCATTGAAAACTCGGTAGAGCACAACTCTACTCTTACACACTCGGCATCACCATAACTTGGAAGTATTTGGGATTTTTTGTTTCGTTTATTAAGGG